TTGTTCTCGCGCTATAACTACCGTCATGCCATACCAACTAGCCCAAGCTGCCACACTTCTATGTAGACTGTGACTTGGCTGCTTTGTGTGTAGTGTGCGGTAATTCTTTTTTTTATCGGGCGCGCCTCTGTGTGTGTGTGTGTGTGTGTGTGTGTGTGTGTGTGTGTGTGTGTGTGTGTGTGTGTGTGTGTGTGTGAGAGAGAGAGAGAGAGAGAGAGAGAGAGAGAGAGAGAGGAGAGAGAGAGAGAGAGAGAGAGAGAGACTGGCCGCCTGGTCGAGAAAGAGTGGGTGTGGCGTGACTCCTCGCGCGTGATTGAGTGACTGACAAAGCGGCTATTCGGCGGTCTGTTCCTCCCGGAGATTCGGGACAGTGAAATAAGCGAACGCTGGAGGCTTTTTTTTTTAACGCGAAAGCCTTAGATGTCCCATCAAACTCGATAAGTCGTTATTGCTAACACGAGTGATGCAAATCACCACTTGGTGGCATAACAATCGTATCTAGTAGTTGGAGTTTTACGTCTCAAAGCCGTAATATGATTATGAAAGACGCCGTAGTGGAGGGCTCTGAGAATTTTGACCGTCTGGTGTTCTTTATCATGCACCTAGATCTAGGTACGTGGGCCCCAAGCATTTTCGCCTCCATCGAAATTAGGCCAGCGCGGCAGGGATTCGATCTTGTGACTTTGGGGTCAGCAGTAGAGCATTATGATCACTAGACCACTGTGGCGGCAGCATCAAGTGGTGACGTCATCATCACGACATATGACAATGTCAACGTGTGACTTCATACTTTGAGATAAATTAAGAAAAAAAATTAATGAAAACTATTCACTTAAAAAAGGGGGAGATGGATTTTACATTCAGTTTTTCCTGGTTGAATACTTAAGGAACCGCAGTGACACTTTTTCTCAAAATCCTCGTCTGGAACTCCTAGAGCACCAAATAAAAAATAAAGACAGGGTTATGTACTTAATGTGTTAGTTTAGCAATACAGGCATTACCGCAAAAAAAGGCACTATTAGTGGGACAAAAAACACAAAGCCGCTATCATAAAGCATGAGAAAATGTCATTTTAGCTGGTCCAAACATGGAAAGAAAATTAACTTCTAGGCTATACTGCGGATCAAAACCACGTTGTGATTGTGAGCCACGCTGTGGTGGGGGATTTTCAGACTAAATACATGTGCCACATAAGATTATTTAGGCGGCGCGCTAATCCATGCGCACGGGAGGTGCTCTAGCGATATATTAATCAACGAAGTCGCAAGGAGTTAACAAACCTTGAATATGAGTCTATGTGCTCAGACTTTTCTGTCAGTTGGGTTTTTCGCGAATTTTGCGCCTTGTAGGCCTTTGTGGCCAATCATGCTTAACAAGGAAGCGCTGATGTGTGGTGAAACATGACAAGACGTGGGCGGTCAGCAAATGAATGTAAATGATGGTCACCTCACGGCGCTGGCTGCGAGTGTACAGTGCTCAAGGATTCAGAAGAGTCATCAAACTTGTCAAAAGTAATACTGGTAAGCGCAGTTTCCTCGAAATAACCACGTCATGTCATGATGAATGCGGTCTCTGAAGATAATGTGGGCTCTGAGCCTCGCGTTCTAGTCGAAAATACGCTAGTATGCCCCCGAAGTAAACATGGTGGTAACGAGATATAATAATAATAATAATAATAATAATAATAATAATAATAATAATAATAATAATAATAATAATAATAATAATAATAATAATAATAATATCTAGGGTCTTTCTTCCCAAACCAAGATATGATTATGAAAGATGCCGTAGTGAAGTACTTCGGACAGTTACATTGGAGTTCTTTAACGTGTAATCACCACGATCAGCGCAAAAAACATTGAGGGGGGGGGGGAAGGAGTGAGAATGCTAAGGATGTTGTGCGGAGTGCGCACTTGAAGTTCAGGCGCGTGTCGAGGCATTGAAATGCTCATTCCAACGACGTGGGCTGGCTGGTTTATGGTCGCGACGCCGGCAATTTTTTTTTTCTAAATTTCGTTCTTGGCTGATGTCGAGTTGAAGTCTTTTTGTTACTTTTTTAAAAAGTGAGAATGCCTAGGGGTGGGTATTGACGCGCTAGTTTCATATAAGACACGCTTTCTGATATCTGTCAACATGAATGGTGTTAAAGCGGTTGTTTGGGCCTGTTGGTACGACGTGTTGGAGGAAAACGGGGCGAAATACGAAAGGCCAGGCAGAGAAGGACATACATATATATATAGAACAGCTATGACCTACAACAAATGTTTTCATCAAACCATGGACACTCCGTAAACCTGTGCAGTCAAAGCGAAACGAAGAAATAAAGACAAGTTGAAAATAAAGGAAATATCAGCATCATCACCAAGAACACATCCTATATATTCTGTGCAGTTATTCTGTATATAATGCTTGGTTTGACGAATAAACTTTTGTCGTAAGTCAGCGCTGTTGTATGTGTCCTTCTCTGCCTGGGCTCTCGTCTTTCTCACTGTTTCCCTCCAATGAATGCTCTCTCTTTGGACGCTGATTCTTAATCCTTTTTGGGCCACTTCATCTTGAGGGTGCAGTGCTATTTCCTCGTATCTTTTTATTTGCGGCATCGTTGCATACTTGTGGATTGCGTGACTACTGCATTTACTTGTCATTTATGATTTGCTCTTCGAGAAGTTTATTCAACTTACCTTTTACGAACGAGTTGATTATCTTGTGATCGCTGCCGCAATTTTCAGCGTTCTGTGCTCAAGTCTAACATGGAACGTTATTTTCATTACGGTTGCGTTATTGTTTCTATGTGTGACAATTAGCATCTATACATGGAACAATCAGACTTAGGATAGCGCTGTAAATGTGTACTTCTGGTCATGCAGTTTACGCTTCTTTAAATAATGTGCGACAATGAGGATTGAGCAAGATGGTTATGGTGCAAGCAGGAATTCATCTAGTGCTGCGTCGTAACAGTCTCTCTTAAGGTTGAACCAACTAGTCTAAGAGCATGTTTTGATAAACAATCTCCGCATGAAAGCTGTCACTGTTTTCTCTCACGCTTACAGCATGCGAAGTATAAGGGCTTTCCTGTCGCACAAGTTTTGTAAAGTGCTCAATCTTCCCTTCCACTGATCGTGCATGCAACGAGTTAGCCGCTGCGACCCTTTTCGGAGACTCCCATTTTCCACCATTTCGAGCGTGTAAATGTTTACGAGGTATCGTTTGCTGACGACATTGTGCTACATGAACGAAACGGAAGTTTTTTTTATGGCTTCTTTTTTTTGTTTTTTAGACACAACAGCTGTTAGAACTATAGCAGATAAGGAAACCAAGTATCAAGCTCAGCTGAGGTAGCGGGCCGCAGTCCCCTAATTTAGACATGCAGGGGCCGGGACTGTATAAGCGCGCGTTGTGGGGAGGGGGGGGGGAGGGGGTGAAAAAATTGTCACCTTACACTGCTATTTAAAAGGATGCCACCCCATCTTTCTTATATGGATAATTTCTGAATGGTATTGAATGTCTCGATTCGAAACATGTGTATTCTGCTCTCCAGAATGACCCAAACCAGGACGTCCATTGTGAAACAGACTTTATTCGGTGGTTGTGCTTGAACGCACGGTGACAGCATGGGCTGCCCCATGAAACAGTCCCGTCCCTGTAGCCAATCCGCACAAAACGTTGTCATTCGTAATAGGCGAGTATATAATGCGAATGCCATTTAGCAAACTCACAAACGTTTTATGTCTTGTCAAGCCACAGGCCCCTGGAAAAACGTCCGCGGGCTGCGTGCTTGAGACGCCTGGTTATAGGGGATACGTTATTTGTGGTAATTATGATTCGGATTTCACGTATTCTTTCCCCAGCCCAAGCCAGCGTCGGAAGCCAACTCGTTTCGGCCGACGTGTAGGGGGTGTGTGTGGGATCGACGGTGCAAGGGAGAGCTATATCAGTGCTTAATGCTTGTATTCAAGCTGGTGGCTGTCGGTCGGAATGCTAAGTGCTGTATAACACATTCATTTCGAAATTACATTCCCAGATAAAGCATAAATTCAGCTTTATCGAACATTTCGTGTCCCGCAAACTTTTGCTATTGATAGTACCTTTCATGCTCAGACCCTCGAATATTAGCTCTTTATAAGTCTTCTCCGAGTATTAGTTTCCACAATGTACGTATGATGCATCATTCATTTTGCGTATCTTGTTACCTGCCCCCCCCCCCCCCCCTATCGTCGGACACTCCACAATAAAGCCCATGCCCTAACGAATCTAGTTACCTGGATAAATAAATGAGGCCAGTGGACACGCAGCTTCCACGTCGTTAGAGTGATAGAGTGATGGTATACACAAGGTGTCAAGCTGTAGCCAGTCGTTTCCTCCGAGGAGAAGTGCCCGAGTGTGGCCGCTATTTCTCGGAAAGCGTTGGGCACACGAAGACGACGTCACGGGACGATGCGGCTCTTTAGTGCATCCCTCTTCCGTTGTAACAATAACAGACCCTTTGTTATTCAAGACTGCAATTTCTCAGCAATGTTTGTAACTACACGCAGTTTCCATTATCTTTGTCTTGTATGTGCTTGAATTTTTACTCATACATTTTTAGTTGATTTATGTTACCTTCGTGATTTGCGCATCTGACACTTGTTTCTTTTCTTTGTCTTTTTTCTTGTCCTTATTCCTTTGTGTGTTATAAAATGTTGTACCCACCCCCTCTGTAATGCCCTACGGGCCCTGTGGGTATTCTAATAAATAATAAATAAATAAATAAATAAAAGTAGCGGCCGAGCGTTTAATAATCGTTCGGGCGTGCCGGCGCGAGCCTTGTACCCGAGAATATCGGTCAAGCGTTGGATATCTGCTCACGTGACCCCTCGGAGAGCCCGAAGGAGAGCGGAGATGCCCCGGAGGATGAGGGGCGAGATCGAGGCTGTTGCGTGGGAAGAAGACAAGTCGGAGAGTGGGGTTGTTGGGCAGCGTGCTCCTCGCCGACGCCACGTGGTGTCGCCAGCGTCGCTGTACTCCGCTCGGGGTGGCGGCGTGCGTCCTACTTGCGGTGTTCTCTGGTTTCGCTGTACGGGTGTTCTATGGCTTTCGCGGTGCTCGCGGCAAACCGAACTTGACCGTCGCATCACGACCGTCGAAGTTGCGCGTGCTCTTTGTTTTACCGAACAGTCAAGAAGAACCGCTAAGCGCAGACTTCGTCGCGAGCGCGGCGACCACTTGTTGCAGCTTCCGGCGCTCATTGGGCGCCGCATTGCAGCGCCGCGACTTCGCGTGTATTCCGTACGCAACGCACCTGGCCGTGACACACTCACGGTAAGCGCGCCGTTGGAGCTGCCGACTGGTCGCCCCGAGTGGCGGCGAAGCGACTTGCTTCAACCACCTGCCGTACGTACGCCGATCACCGGCATTGCACAGCCTTCGCTTCGCAACCGACGCCGAAAAGCACGCGCAGGGAGCGGTTTGTCTCTGCAGCGACCGGGCTCAGCGCCCCGTGTCTGCCGGCTGGATCGTCGCGTGCGTGTTGGACCCCGCGCGGGGATATTTTTAAAAGCCACACCCGCCCCTCCTGCCTCACGGGACGAGGGGCCCCCTTCGCCGGCGGCTTCCTGGTTCTTCCAAGGTCGGTGGCGTTATAGTCATGGTGGCGAAGCCGGCAGTGGATCGGCTGGCTGTTTTGTTCGAAACGCGCTGAACTGAACTGCAATTGTTCACGTGGTATGCTGGAACTATCTCCCTGTCGCCTGTGCCAAGTATTGCTCGGCTTCGAAACGTGGGCCACGCGTACCAGCTTCCAGTTCTGAAACGGTGCCGCTTGCTTATCGGTGTGCGACAGCTATCATCTTGGAATCGGGAAGAACAGCAACGTGCTTGCCCGCTGTTGTCGTTACCCGGATATCGTAATCGTGAGGCTGTGGTGTTACATACGGTCCACGGTTGGAACGCTGGCGTCTCGTTTTACCGTCCGCTGCGCCGGTGCTTGTTCGCTCGACGGGCGGGACCCGACGTGAGAAAGTACGTTATCTGAAAGAAGAAGGCGTGGAGGAGCTCAGTCGACCGGCGTGTAGTCAGTTCACCGTGGTCGCTTTCAACGCCGTCGTTCCACCATGGGTCTTGGAGTGAAAATTGAAGACCGCCGCCTTTCCTGGAATACGTTCAACACCAAGGCGCCCATCTACAAAGTAAGCGAACTTCTCTAAGTTATCGTGCCGGTTCATAATAGGATTCGAAACAACTACCTCGAAGTATGACTTCACTAAGTTGAGTCTCTAAGTTTTAACCGGCGAACTTCGAGGTGATGCCTATACATTTGCGAGCGTATCGACTGGGAGGTCGCAGGTTCGACACTATATGCATGACGTCACCCGTAGGCTGCGCGGAGGGGGACGCTGTGACGAACCTAAGCTTAGCTCTCTCCCTCCCCTGCATGCGCACGCCTATGTTCACACCTTGATACAATTACTCCCCACATCTCCGTGGAAGGTACGCTGTATCGATCATTCCATTCACGGCCAGTTAATCCCGTTTATTACAACGTTGGTTCGTCGTTTCTGACCAAATCGGGTCAAGGTCGTAAAACACGCTTTGAAGAATGAGTTACTACAAAACACTGGCGCGTCGAATAGCAAACTTTGCAATTACAAATAATCCCTCTCTCTCTCTTTTTTTTTTGCCTTTGTTCTTAGCCGAAATCTTGAGGCGTGAGAACCCGTCAGATCAACCGAACTCAGTGACATATTCATTTCCGAACGAGACCTTCTTTCTGAATAGTACGGCGAAATTGTTTTAAACATTCTTTTGATATTAATTAGAAGAAGGGGCGGTGCCAAGATTTCTTTACTTGGTGGGGTGAGGAAGGGGGCGACTCACGACAAGCGAGCTCTATAAGGGAGGCTTGGAACTTATGCGCCGTGTTTTGAATATCTCTGCTTCTTGGGGGGCGCAGGCAGAAATCATATGGAATCCGCGGCCCCCCCCCCCCCCCCCTCCACGTGGGCGCCGCCTCTGAGCAGAAGTTGCTGAATCCAGATAATACCGCGTGTTACAGTCGCCGTATGCGTCCACATCGACGCAGAGCTGCTACACGTTTTGCACCAAATGAGACCGTGACAGAGAGAGGGAGAGTCGGGATAGACGCGGCTGTTGCTTGTATATGCTTGACCAATGTATATAGGCACTGCGCCGTGCTCCCGACCGGGCTGCAGAAATTAGGTGCCCTTCTCCTCTTCTAACCGCTACCACCACCACCACCAATGTATAGACTTGTTGCTCAGGGGAGCGCGAGTTTGGCCAGGAAAAGAACACAGGATGGGGAACGCAGGACACAGGGCGGGTTTTCCTGCCATATGTCCGTTGACGGGAATAATGCTGTATGAACAGTGTTGGAACGCGAAGAGGAGACGCAACACAGGTGCCTGTAGTAATTGAGTGTCCTCGTGTCCATCGGTGCCTGTTTTTGTCGACGTCATGTACCAATGTCCCCTAATTTCAACCGTACTTACTGCTGGCACTTGTAGCATTATTTACAGATGCAAGTGTTGCCAAAGAAGTTCGACGATGTGCACCGTATGCTGTTAATATCGCTTTTGTTGACATCAATCATTTATCAGTTACTAGAAGTCGAGACTGACGGCCAATATTTTATTTATTCTGTTATATTATTTCGTTTTATTAATGACGTAAAATCCTTGCCAGGCTCTTACATGAGCGAAAGCAAGAAAATAACAGAAAGTGTGGATTAGTAATTGTGTATCAGATCCTAGAATAACAGTAATTAAAAAAAATATCAAATAGAGTACAAAATAACATAACAGGTCACATTAAACACGTAGTTCTGAAAAAAAACTGCGAGAAGCATACACATGAAATAAAAATACTCTCCGTGGGTAGACGACCTATATCTGCAATGGTGCCACTTGTTGATCAAAAAGATGTCTGTCTTGGAAAATTCATTGGCTGATTATCTTCCATAATTCTACGACTGGCGGAAAAAAAGGGAATACTTAAATGTACTACAGTAAATGCTCAAATGAAATACTTATAAATGTATTACCCAAATGTATTACAAATGAGTTTGACTCCTTGAACGAAGCCTTTCGCACATCGCCTCGATTCCGGCTGTATACACGCGTGCAGAGGCGCGGTCGATGCCGAGTCGATGCGCAATTTCGACGTGATCTTTTTTTCTGCGTCGCGCCCGTACCTGTTGCAAGCGCGACGTTTGCCCGTCATGCAGTAAACGTGTCGTTGTTAATTGCAGCTGCACAGGAAATGTGACACGACACGAGCGCCGATGTGTAATATCCTCTGCCCTTGACTCGTGTCGTGTTCCTGTCTCGAACGCCTATAGCTCGTCGTGCGAGACACATTGGCTACATCGACAATGAAAAACCACGAAGGCCGGCGCTGAGTTCCATCAGATTTAACGTATAACTTCCGGCACGCGAATCCGTTGAAAGTTCACGCCAGTTCCCGTCGTTCTTAATAACCCTGTCCTTGGCTTGTTTTGCGCATCAGATGCTGAGACAACATGCCGAGACCTACGATACTTGAAATGTTTCTAATAAACCGCAGGTATTTCTTTGCACAGCTTTTTACAAAACCAGAGCCTTATACAACATCCAACATGGGCAACATGTTACAACATCCAACATGGGCTGATTTTATTAAGATCATAAATGACAGATGGTAACATGTAAATCGGAAATACACGTCACCTACGGCATGCATTACATGCCACGCTCATGGTGTGCTTGCCGTCTTTCTTTTAGAAATTACGTAATGTACCTCAGTTAATCAACTGATTAACTGTCGTATAAAGATGTACTAACGAGTTCAATATGACGGAAAGTCATTGGTTTCATTGAACTTCGGTTGATAACTTCAAAATTTTTGGTTCTAGTTATGTGAAACACCCTATGTATGTATGTATGTATGTATGTATGTATGTATGTATGTATGTATGTATGTATGTATGTATGTATGTATGTATGTATGTATGTATGTATGTGTGTATGTATGTATGTATGTATGTATGTATGTATGTATGTATCTATGTATGTATGCATAACGCTTCGATGGACACCCGTCTGGGTCGGAAAGAATTATTGAATATAAAGATGAGGACGAGAAATGTCAATGCATTGATTATCTTCCTATGTGTGCGTGCGTGTATCGCTGAAACTAGACAATGAGTGTAAGCCTGCCTCCCCCCCCCCCAAACCCCTCAAAATCTTGACCGCCCCTCCCCCCCCCCCCCAACAAACACCCCCGCGCACTGGGCTGCGCATGTAGCATGTGGATACAGACGCGGTTCTCAAGAGTTGCCAAGGCGCCCCCTTCGCACGCAACGGAAGCCGCTCGCAGAACTTGGCCTTGCTTCTAATTAGCCTTCTAATTACTCGGTTACACGGCCGAGTCCTCAGAGGGGCTTCTGGCGTGGCACTTGCGACACTTGCCGAAGAACCACCCGAATGGTGTTTATACGGTTTCTTTTTTTTTTGTCTTTTCCTTCTGACACAATCCAGCTCGGATTTCTTTTGTTAGGAGCAATTCGTGTTATAGCTTAGATTGATAACAGATATATGAAATGCGTTAGGTCATACATTGAAAATGTAACACTTGAAACAATTTTCTTTCTGCTGTCGAGTTGTGAATTAGGCTGCCGAGCGATGCTGTAAATGATAACACCATACACGAGTTTGTTGGAGTGGTGCATGGAGCCGTATATATTTGCAGTTGTTACAAGGAAAGGGACGTTTTTGTAGTTGGAACGCCGTAAAAGAAGTGTTTACCATTTTTTTTAAATTACATGCAGTATTATTAGTGTCGTATGTTATGCGTAAGTTCAGGGCTCATTTGAACATTGTAACATATGAGTTCCTTTGTTCTTTTCTTCATATTTTCTTTTGCTCTAATACACATGACTATATTTACTCATCATGCTAGAGACTATTACTCGTGGATCACTTGTCCCGCCTGTGTGAGCCATTGTAAAAGCTTAGAGCTTAAAAGCCATTATAAAAATTAACTAAGTATGGTTTCCATTATAGCCTCGTACATCGCAAGCTTCGCAGGGGAATGGGGTTGGAACGTGATGAATAACGACTCAAGAAGGTTGTTTTCCAGCCCTACGTCACTGCTCACGGCGGTCACGTTTCTCTGGAATCAAAATGCGAAGCACACTTGTGTGCTAAAGAGGTGAAAAAAGGACACTAAAGAGGAAAAAAGAAAATTTATTTTGATGTATTAGTGAATTACTTTTTCACGATTACATAAACACCGCGTTTTCTGCGAGAAAACGCACAAAGAAAAAGTGGGTGGTGACGCAGATAAAGTTCCCGCACTAGTTGCCGTGACGTGATAGGTTTTGACGCCGTCTACTCGAGCATACGTAGTTGAAAATGAAGTGCATTGTCACCTGAAGGGGTCAGAAATTTACCCTATTCAAATAGTAGGAAATTTCTCTGAGCCAATGTGGTCAACATACAAAGCAACACTTCAAAATATGTGCCATCAGCGCCGCAGATTTCGGCGGCAAGTTTAAACGTCAAGCTTTTGACATTGATTTTCTCGTCTATATTTTAGCTTGGTTTGGTGAAATAAATCACACTAGAGTTGTGTGAACATAATTTATTAGTCCAAACTAATTTATTGGCTCAGGGGGAGGGGGATCATTCTGTCAATCGAACTACGTTCGGTCATCATCACTCCACATGGTCGAAACTAATTCGCATTCCTACACTATGGCGCGCCTCATAACCATGTCGTGCTTTTGGCACGGAAAGCTCCAGCGGCTATATTATATGCGCGCTGGTTTTCTTTCGATACTCTGTAGCCATCGCATTTTGCTTTGATTGTTGCCGGTCGTTGTGGTTCATTGATAGTAGTGTAGCAACGTGTTTTCGTCGCGGTATGGAGCGGTCGGCGCTGATAACCGTAAACAATGGAGTGTAGAGTGGTCGGTGTAATAGAACACGCGCGCCGACCCGTGCGTTTGTCACGGAGCCGTCCCACATATAGCATCGGCTGAGTCACAGCTGCAAGCCACCAAGGACGGTTGTCAACCTTTTTGCTTAGCTTACCTGCCGCGCTACGTCGGCTGCTGCGATTGTAGATTACGCCGTTATCTCGTGGCATTTGTTTTTTTTTCTTCTTTGGAACGCATCCTCACTGTGTGCGG